ATCAACAACTTGAATATAATTAGAATGAGATAACTTTTCTAATATAATTTTTTTTCTTCAAAAAAGACATTCATGTGGCAGTGTGTGCTTACATTTTGGTAATATTGTGTTTTTCACTTGTACATTTTGATGTCATTTGTAAATTGACTTTACCTCCTTTTTTGGTAGATCTCACTTGAATCAGTCTCTGCACAAGAAATACTTGGGTTATGCTCACGGCTTGATGCCAGATGAAGTGTGACGATGGCATAAGAATTTGAGTGATTGATATGAATGTTGCAACATTGAGTTTTCTTGCAATAAATAGGCTTTGATATTTTTTAACTTAGCTCTCTTAAGTCTTTTACACTCTTTGTACGGAATGTTGTTCTCTATTTTTTCCAGCCAGAATAGTCATTACAAGAAGCAACTCCTAATAATGTCTACTTTGCTACCTTATATAATTCATTGAGACATGTAAATTTTTACCAATTTTTGTTATTGTCACTATTATTATTAATTTTTTAAACTAAAGATTATGTGTGAGAGTCTGTTGGGCCCGTGCTAGAACGGGCCATGCCCCTCTAGTAGTATATATATATGCTATGAACTTATTGGATTATGGATGATAAAATATTAAGGAAATTTACGATCAAAAAGCTAGTTTGTAAGTAGCTCATACTTATAATGGCTTCATGAAATATGTTGAGTTTTGATTCGTTAAGGATTAAGCTTTAAAAATAAGTTGTAAGGTAAATGAAAAATAGAAAAAAAAAATGAAAAAAATATTTGAAGCTACTAGAAATTTTCTCCTTTCTTTTTACTTGAATCAAATTTTAGGTTCAGTTAGTGTTTTTATTAATAATAATAAATTAAGAAATCAAATGGCCAAAGGCCCCATCTGAAAATAAAAAAAGAGACTAGGTCCAAAGCAGTGGCGGAGGCAGGAATTCTATCAAGGGGGTTCAAATAAAACATAGGTGAAATCCTGAACCCCATAAACAATTGAGCTACTCCTTTGACATATGCTCAGGGGGTTCAATTTTAACTATATACACGTACACAAAAAAATTGATCTTATATATATAGTGTAATTTTTTTTTCCAGGGGGGTCGGATGACCCCCCTGGACACACTCTACATCCGCCACTGGTCCAAAGCATGATCTGATCCAAAATAAGAGAAGAAAATTTCTAATATATACACAAACACAATAGTCCGATCTAGGGGTGTACAAAACCGAACCGAAAATCGAATCAAATCGCAAATCGACTCAATCCGACTAGTGGCTTGGTTTTGAAAAAAAAAACCCGACTATATTTGGATTGGTTTGGTTTTAACTAAAAAAAACCAACCCGACATTATATATATAATTTTAAAATCTTATTTTATACATAAAAATATTTACTTTGATATAATTTTTAAATATTTCTTATACTTTTTCATAGTTTTTATCTTTTAATATATTATTTCAAGTTTGAAACTTAGAATTATGAATGGGCCAATATAGATTATAGTCCACAGATGTTGGTAATTATAATAAAGCTCAAATCAAAATCAAATTAATACTAATGCAAAAAGAAAATCAATTCAACACTAAGAATGACAATAATATTGAATATTTATTCTTTAGTTTTACATTTGTTTAGACAATTAAAATACATAATCTAATTTTAATTCCTTTAATATTTAGTCATGTAACTAATACTTATTAAATTTAATTTTAGCATGATTTAGTACTTTTAAATTATGATCATTTTCATTATGACTTGTTAATTTGCAATATTTGTTTTACGCAATTTCATTATTATTATTTTTGTTGAATATTTTAGTGTCATTAATCATATCATATTGTGTTATATTTTTAAGAAACATCTTAAATAGTTGTATTTTGGTAGGACTAAAGAAATATTTGAAGTACTAGTAAATTATATGTTTGTATGAATACTTTACCGGAAAAACCAGAAACAACCCGAAAAACCAAAAAATCCGATAAAACTCGAGGTTGAAAAACCCCAGTTTTATTGGTTTAGTTTGGTTTATAAATTTAAAAATCCGACACAAATGATTTGGTTTGATATTTGAAAAACCCGAACCAACCCGGCCATGTACACCCCTAGTCCGATCTTTGTTGAGGAATATCCAGCACTCTTTCTATAAAAGCTTAATCCTAGCTTCTTGTAACATAATTATAATGTCTGGCGTAAATTGTTTATACTGTTGTGTTATGAGTAAGATATATTTTATAAATATTCATATTTGGCATGTGATGATCTTTTTATAGCTAAAGTATATAGTTCCCAACTTTCCCCAAATATCCATAAACATATATTTGGTTCGTTCGTATTTACTTGTCAAATTATTTCCTAAATTATTGAATGTGAGACAATGCAGAATAGTCGTGGAATTCAATTATTGAATATCTCAATTATACACAGTTGTTGAGTACAAAACAACAAATTAGTGAGTACATTATGTGCACATCTTAAAAGAATCATGTAAAACTCAAAAGGGTTTTCAAGATTCCGTAGCACACTTGAACTAATAAAGGAACTGGTAGAAAATTTCAAGTATTCAAATGGGAGTAAAAAGTAATAATGTAATTAAAAATAGTAGTAATGGATAAAATCACTAACCCATATTGGATCCACATGTCATTTTGCATATAATGTAAAACACAAAAGGTTGTTCAAGATTCTGTAGCACAATTTATGCGATTAAGAAACCAGCAAAAAATATGAAGTTAAAGAGAAAAAAGGAGCATCAGTGATGATTGAAAAAAAGAGAGCAGAAATGGCAGCCTGGCACACTAAGCTCCCTCTATGAGCAGGATTTGAGAAAGGGCCAGACCATAGTGGGTCATAATACATAGATTTACGTTGCATTTCTGCAAGAGGCTGATCGTGACTTAAAGCCATGACCTCTTGATCACAAGACATCGACTTTTATCATTGTTCATCATTTTCTCTTAATAAATCATGCAAAACTTTGTTATTAAAAAGTCATTCACGTTTCTGGGGAAGGGTCAGACCACACATTCAAGAAGTGAAGTAAATATTAGCGGAAAAGAATATCCTTTCAAACAAGACTCTTGAGACTGAAGATCTACCACTTTCACAGACACTCCTCCTTCCACCATCAAGTTTGGTGCATGACTGGGTAACAAAAGCACATCTAATCTTGTTAGCACATAAAAGATGGTGTACATGGCATTTTAGACCAGCATAATGTGATTTATCTAAATGCAGGACTTACGAATTGCAGCTTGGAATATAGGTGCAAATACTTTTTCCTCCGATTAGCTGAAATTCATTGTCAACCAATTAGAAAATGATCTCAGATATCAAGTACGAATGAAACTAAATAAACAACAGGAAAATAACTTTCTTCATGGTTGGATATTGTAAGAGCTTGATGCTATGAAATGAAGAGCTAACGGCAAAGTATACTTTTCTTCAGTTTTCTGAACCAGTAACGAGTATCCATTTCAACAACTCACAAAAGGAAGTTATGAGTTCAAAATTACAAAATGTGCAAAGAAGTATGTCCCTTTTCAAAGACTAAGGAGCTACAAAATTCACAAAAACATTTATGTCATGAACACTTTTTAAGGTGCACCAGAAAGCAGAACTATTAACTAAAGAGTTTGAAGCTACACACATAATTCTTGATTCCTTCAAAGAAAATTTGGCTTCTCTTCTGTATAACCCAACAACAAATCCAGTGTAATCCCACAAGTGAGGTCTGGGGAGATGGAGTGTATGCAAATCTCTTGCATATTTGATCCATCACCTGCCCAGATTTGTCTAACCTTTTCATCCATTTCCCCTCTAATTTGATTCTTGCAGACAAATGATATACGCATTCCACCCCTCCATCACACTCCTAACCAGCCTTCAGATCCTTTCTCAAAACAAAAAAAGATAATATTTCATACCACACTTGTGTTTCTTCTCAATGTAGGTCCCTTTTTAAGGGGTAGGGAGCCATGAATCTAAGAAAACATTTAAATCATATTTGTTTTTTTGAGCTGCACCAGAAACCCGAAACTGTAAACTAAAAGTATTGCAAGCTATGCGGGGAAATCTTAATTCCTTCAAAGAATCTTGGGCTTCTTAACCAACATAATGCATAAAGAGAATATTTCAGACCACACTTGTGCTTTTTCTCGATTTCCTCCTTTCTAAAAGAATAGCAAAACTCAATAACTAAACCAATTTTTTTTTTTTCCAGATGCAAAGGGAACAGAGAATTATATGATGTTATTGAACATCATAGAAAAAAAGCATAATGCTACCATTGCTTATATCACTCAAATATGAAGTCCATGCATAATGATACCCACATGTTTATGTTTGGATCCCTCTGGAAAATTGACTAACTATCTCAAATCTTCAGATTAACGAACTGAAAAGACAACGATCTGACATAATATAAGGTAGGAAAAGCCGAAAAGCATAATCATGAAACAGTTAAATCATATTCCTCACATTATTAAATCTATTGGTAAGGATTGATAGAACGAATAATGCATGAAAAAAATAATCGATATTGGATCATGTAAAATTCAAAATGGTATTCAAGATTCTGTAGTACATTTGAACCAAGAAAGAAACCGGCAGAAAGTTTCAAGTATTCAAATGGGAGTAAAAAGTAATGATGTAATGAAAAATAGTTGTAATGGATAAAATCACTAACCCATACTTGGATCCACATGTCATTGTGCATATCATGTAAAATACAAAAGGCTATTCAAGATTCTGTAGCACAATTTATGTAATTAAGAAATCAGCAGAAAATATGAAGTTAAAGAGCAAAAGGGAACAGCAGTGATGATTGGATAAAAAGAGCAGAAATAAACAGCAGTACTGATAATCGTAGTGCATCTTATAAGTGGCAGCATGGCACACTAAGCTCCCTCTATGAGCGGGGTTTGAGAAAAGGCCAGACCACAGTGGGTCATAAAACAGACTTACGTTGCATGTCTGCAAGAGACTGGTCATGACTTAAAGCCATGACTGATCACATCGCATCGACTTTTATCACTGTTCCACTCCCCTTCTCGTAGTGCATCACATTCTCTTAATAAATCATGCAAAACTTTGTTACTAAAAAGACATTCAAGATTCAGAGGAAGGGTAAGATCTCACATTCAGGAGTTGAAGTAAATATCAGCAGTGGACTATCATAGTGCATAATTTAATAGAATGAAATCATGTAAAACTTGACAAAATTGAAGTGGTAAAGAAATTAGAAGAGTAAATGGAATGATGCAAGAAGAAATTAAAAGAAAAGAAATACTAGCAGGGAGTAGTAGTACTGGATTAAAGAGTATGTTTAGCATTTTTGACGGTGAGTTCAATGAGAATTACTTGGTTTTCAAATTGAATTGATATTTGATAATACCAAAAGAACAAGTAATGCGCAATCAGTATACAAGAAAAAGACAGAAAATATCAAACACATTCTCCAACATGTTAACTAGCACATGTAAAGTTCCTTCTTCACAATATAATACCAAAAATTGTTTTAAAAGATACAAGATTAAATATGTACGTTTACAATTAGGCTCCTCCAATATGTTGTGGTGGTGGGGACGCTTACGGCAGTTGGAAAGTGGTGAATAATGCAAAGGATAATCAGCTCTACAAGTTGGACATGTGTTATTCATTGATAGCCAATTTATCAAACAGTGAATATGAAATTCGTGCAAACAATTAGTTGTTATCACCTCATTCTCGTCTTTAAAATCTTCATAGCAAACAGGGAAAGTGTCATCCATTAAATCTCTGATATAGTCATTGAATACGGGAGTTGGAGATGGAGAGCACCTGATTTCCTTAAGTCCTTTTGGTAAATCCTCTGCAATGGGTGGTTTGGCTGGGCAAATTCCACCTTCACCAGTATATTCCCTTAACACATACATGTACTCGAGCACATCACCCAAGTACTTCTGATATGGATCATTGATGTAATCAGTGGTAGAGAGACTGTGGGTGGCAGTGTGAAGCTCCTCTTCATCATCCCAGTCCTTTTCAAACCTAGAGAAATAGGGGATATGGGGAAAAGTTGGTACAGATGGAACAGAACAATATGATGAAAAATCGATGAGATCAAATTGGGAGATTTCAAGGGCAATCACGTAGGGATGTCGTGGTTGTGGTTGAGAAAACTGACAAAATTTGGTGAAAAGATCAGAATTGATTTCATTAGACATTTGTATGATGTCTTTGGGAGTAAATAGAAGAGTATCAGATAGAATCATGGAAAACAAGAATGGATCCTTGTTGAGTAGCCTTGACAGATCAAACCGGATGACAGTAGAGCAATATGTATCATACGAATGGCTGTCAGGAGGGTAGCAAACTATACATGGACAGGGATGAAGCCTCTTGTATTTCCTCCGAATAATAATGACGCACAGTCCTTCCGATTCTGAAATCTGATTCCGACTTAGCTTCTCATTCCAAAAGAAAACCCTTACCTTAGCACTTATCTTAGTTCCTTCGTTCGCCATAGTCGTTCCTTCGTTCGCCATCCTAAACAAAACTCAAACATAATATTACTTGTCCCCTCGTAACCCTATTTAACAGAAGCTTATTCCCAATCCTTTCGAACTCTGAATTCCTGTTACCTAATTTCTTTCTTTCCCAACTTTCCCCAAATATCCATAAACATATACTCACTCCCTTCTCATTTACTGTCAAATTATTTCCTAAAATATTAAATGTGAGACAATTCAGAGTCATTGCAGAACCCAATTATTGAATGTCTTAATTATATACATTTGTTGAGTACAAAACAACAAATTAGTGAGTACATTACGTACATTCAAGATTTTGTAGCACACTTGAACCAATAAAGAAACCGGTAGAAAATTTCAAGTATTCAAATGAGAGTAAAAAGTAATGATGTAATGAAAAATAGTAGTAATGGATAAATTCCCTAACCCATACTTGGATCTACATGTCATTGTCATATAATGTAAAACACAAAAGTCTATTTAAGATTCTGTAGCACAATTTATTTGATTAAGAAGCCAACAGAAAATATGAAGTTAAAGAGCAAAAAAGAGCAGTAGTGATGATTGGAAATAAAGAGCAGAGATGGCAGCCTGGCACACTAAGCTCCCTCTATGAGCGGGTTTTGAGAAAGGGCCAAATCACAGTGGGTCATAAAACACAGACTTACATTGCATGTCTGCAAGAGGTTGGTCGTGACTTAAAGACATGACCTCTTGATCACAGGGCATCGACTTTTATCATTGTTCATCATTTTCTTTTAATAAATCATGTATCAGCAGAGAGGAATATCATTTCAAACAAGACTCTCGAGACTGAGGATCTGCCACTTCCACAGACACTCCTCCTTCCAACATCAAGTTTGGTGCATGACTGGATAACAAAAGCACAACTAATCTTGTTAGAACATAAAAGATGATGTACATGACATTTCAAACAAGTAAAGCATAATGTGATTTATCTGAATGCAAGACTTACGAATCGCATGGAATATAGGTGCACATACTTTTTCATGCGATTAGCTGAAATTCATAGTCAACCAACTAGAAAATGATCTCAGATCTCAAGTACGAATGAAAATTATTAAACAAGAGCAAAAAAACTTTCTTCATGGTTGGATATTGTAAGAGCTTGATGCTATTAAATGAAGAGCTAATGGCAAAGTACACTTTTCTTCAGTTTTCTGAACGAGTTAAGAGTATCCATTTCAACAACTCGCAAAAGGAAGTTATGAGCTCAAAATTACAAAAGGTACAAAGAAGTAGGTCCCTTTTCAAAGACTAAGGAGCTACAAATTTCACAAAAACATTTGTGTTATGCACATTTTTTAAGGTGCACCAAAAAGCAGAATTATAAACTAAAGAGTTTGAAGCTACACAGGGAATTCTTGATTCTTGTGTAATCCCACAAGTGAGGTCTGGGGAGGTAGAGTGTATGCAGACTTCTTGCATATTTGATCCATCACCTGCCCAAATTTGTCTAACTTTTTCTTCCATATTCCCCTCTAATTTGGTTTCTTGCAGACAAATGATATCTGCATTCCACCCCTCCATCACACTCTCGACCAGCCTTCAGATCCTTTCTCAAAACAAAAAGGATAATATTCCAGACCACACTATTGTTATGATCTCAACCGAGACCAAAATTCAAATATAGAAATTAAACAATCAACTCAACACTTTTTTGGGAATTTTCTGTTATTTATCAAAAACAAAGAAATGGTACTCAAACCAACAGGGAAATTCTAACTAGTAAAAGAAATGAGATTAATAGTGAGCTCCATTCAAGAATTGATCTGCAGAAGAAGAAGAAGAGAGGAAAGAATCAGATTGAGATGAGATGAGCAGAGAATTTGAGAGGGAGAAAAGAGCACGAGGAAAGGGTTGGGAATTACCAGATTTCAGTTAGCCTTCTCTCTCTTCTGTGATGTGTATATATAACCATCTGTCCACGTGGCACGATCTCGTCCCTTGAGCTTAATTAACTGAAATAAATCTTGGCCCTTCATTCTTTTATTTACTCAATTAAGACTTATACTCCTTCCGGACTTCGACTCTTAACGGCAACATTTTATCAATTTAGTTGAGATCATAACATACCCTCCGCCTTCAAACGATCCTTGTCCTCAAGGATTGGGATTAAAATTAGGGAAGGTGGTGCGTAAGTGTTGGTAGTCCTCCCATGTAGCATCCTCAGCAGCAACATTGTTTTTCTTAACCATTTGCCTTTGCAGAATGGCAACTGGTTGCACTATAAACTGACCATCCGCTCCAGTGTTAGGCAGAGTAGACTGAACCACGACACGATCGCCCACTTTCTTTTTGAGTAATGAAACATGGAAGACAGGGTGGACCTTGGATTCAGGTGGTAATGCTAGTTTGTAAGCAACATTACCAATTCTAGCAATAACCAGATAGGGACCATAGTATTTAGAGCGGAGCTTAAGGTTCCTCCTTAGTGCTAATGATGTTTGTCTGTATGGTTGCAACTTCAAGTATACTGAATCTCCCACTGCAAACTCTCTATCAGTTCTTCTATTATCAGCAAAGAACTTCATCCTGGCTTGAGCTGCATGTAAATTATCCTTAAGTAATTGCAAAAATTGCTGCCTCTGCATGATCACATCTTCAGCAGCTTGCACCACATTTTCCAATAGAGGTCCTATACACAGTTGAGGAGGTGTATACCCATAAAGAGCTTCAAAAGGGGTACACTTCAACCCTGTATGGAAATTAGTATTATACCACCATTCAGCTGCTGACAACCATTGTTTCCACTGGTTAGGTCTGCTTGCCACCATGCATCTTAAGTAGTTTTCCAAACATCTGTTAATCCTTTCTGTTTGGCCATCACTTTGTGGGTGATAGGCAGAGCTATAATGGAGTTGAATGCCGAGTAAGTTGAATAAAGCTCTCCAAAAGTTACTCACGAACACCTTGTCCCTATCCGTCACAATAGACTCAGGAGTGCCATGTAGGCTATGTATCCTCTTCCAAAATATGGAAGCAACAGTAGCTGCGGTATAGGGATGCGATAGTGCTATGAAGTGGGCATACTTAGTAAATCTGTCAATCACCACTAATATGACATCTTTCGACTTAGACTTGGGAAGACCTTCCACAAAGTCCATGCTGATGTGGCACCATGCTTGATTTGGAACAGGTAGGGGTTGCAACAACCCTGGATATGCTGCATTATCATCCTTATTCCTGTGGCATACATCACAACTCGACACATAATTATTCACCATAAGTTTCATCTTTGGCCAATAGAAAAGTTGTGATAGCCTTTTCAATGTACCTAACTGACCAGAATGACCACCAAGGGGAGTGTCATGGAAAGAGGAAATGAGTTGTTGCCTGAGTGTTCCATGAGATCCCACATATACCTTGCCCTTCTTCTTTAGTATTCCAGCTGAATAGTGCCATAAACTGGGCCCATGAGAGTCTACTGACAGTAGTGTAAGAATGTCATGGACATGAGCATCCTCTTGATAGCTCCCAATAATCTCTTGTATCCAAGTTGGAGTGCAGCTGCTTATAGCCATCAATTTCCCGGTAGCTTGATCATCCAAAAGATCTAGCCCTTCTTGCTGCCTTGACAAGGCATCAGCAACTCTATTTTCTGCACCTCTTTTGTATTGAACCTCGTAATCAAGTCCCAACAGCTTGGTTAAACCTTTCTGCTGAATAGCCGAGGTTACCTTTTGTTCCAGTAAATACTTTAAGCTGTGGTGGTCAGTCCTCACAACAAAATGCTTGAACTGGAGATAGTGTCTCCACTTATCCACGACACTTAGCAAGGCCATGTACTCCTTCTCATAAATTGACTTGCCTCTGTGCTTGGGTGCTAACACCTTACTAAAGTAAGCAATTGGTCTTCCCTTTTGCATAAGTACTGCACCAATACCTCCATGGCTGGCATCAGTTTCAACAACAAACTCCTGTGAATAGTCAGGAAGTGCAAGCACAGGTGTGGTGCTCATAGCTGTTTTAAGGGCTGCAAATGCTAGTTCAGCCTCTGGATTCCATTTGAAGGCATCCTTCTTTAGCAAATCAGTGAGGGGCCTGCTGATAGTACCATAATGAACAACATACTTTCTGTAGTAGCCAGTAAGACCAAGGAATCCTCTGAGAGCTTTGAGTGTTTTTGGTCTAGGCCACTCAACCATGGCTTTAATTTTGTGAGGATCAGTAGCTACACCTTCCTTGGTAATAACATGCCCCAAGTACTCCACTTGTGATTGGCCAAACGAACACTTTGATCTTTTAGCATAGAGTGAATGGTTCTTGAGGGTCTCAAACACAACTCTCAAGTGTTGCACATGATCATTTACTGTAAGGCTATATACAAGTATATCGTCAAAGAATACCAAGACAAATTTTCGCAAAAAAGGTTGGAAAACCTGGTTCATAAGGGCTTGGAAAGTAGCTGGGGCATTGGTAAGGCCAAATGGCATTACCTTAAACTCATAATGTCCTGCATGAGTCCTGAAAGCAGTTTTGAACACATCCTCCCTTTTCATCCTTATTTGATGGTAGCCTGCCCGAAGATCGACCTTGGAGAAAATGACTGCACCACACAACTTATCTAAGAGATCATCCACTATAGGAATAGGGTACTTATCCTTAATAGTGATGTCATTAAGGCCCCTATAATCAACACAGAATCTCCAAGTACCGTCTTTCTTCTTGACTAGTAAGGCTGGTGAAGAGAATGGAGATTGACTAGGTTGAATAACTCCACTGGTGAGCATCTCTTTTACTTGTTTCTCCAACTCATCTTTCTGGTTGTAATTATATCTATAGGGTCTCAGACTAACTGGCTTAGCCCCAGGCTTTAGTGGAATGGCATGATCTAATGATCTCACAGGTGGTAGGGATTTAGGCTCAGCAAACACCTCAACATACTGATCTATCACCTCTTGTACTGCAGCATCAGTAGGGTCTTCACTTGCATTTGGTATCATGCTCATTATGAACAGGTGAGCGATAAG